ATAATAGCATGTTCGTTGTCTTGAATATTTGGCGACTGATCAAAACTCAAGGTTTCTTCGTCATGTATATCATCAGTTTCTATTACTGCAGACATTGTTGAATGCATGAATAACAATAATCACTGATGCCGACTTACTATGTGCACACTTTCGCATGTGTTTCAACTGTGATTCTGTCAATTTGTCAAGTACAGGATAACAAGTTGAACAATAGTATTTTACTCTACAAAATCAATCGATAATGAATCGTTGTTTTTACAAAAAATGAAAAAAGACAATTAACGAACCGATTAGCATCTTCACTGGAAATGCCCACGACAAATGCGCGGCTTCCACGAGTAATAACACAATTGTCACACGGTACAACGTCGACCATCAATCCCATATGACCATGTTCATCTGTTCGTCTCATTTCAACAGCCAAAAGCATGACGCGAAGTTTAAAACAGATACTACATAATCAAAATTGAAGAGTCATGCAAATAAGAATTACATACAGAGCACTCTCGGTGTACGTTTTTCCGTAGAATGATGGCGACATATCTTCGAGATACATTTTCATGCCAGCACCTCGGTGATACAAATCACGCCATGACCAAGCTTGCGTCTAAGTAAAAACAAATCAACCAAATCTTTTACCAGCATATTTCATTTAGCATTTCGCTACGTACACACTCGGATGAATTGTGATCAGTCGAACAACAAGCAGGAGACTAGAATGACAAATAAATTTATCCTTTTTGTTTTTGCTTCAAATGAAACTTGATATAAGTCGATAATATTCGGTCATAGTCCACTTTGGAAATTTTTTACCATCAATCTTTATCTTAGAAATCGCTAGCTTGTGGATAAAAATTTATGATTTCAAATCGTTCCAGTTTTCCATATCGTTCGATATTGATTTAAGAACGGATCAACACTTATGACGGGGTATCCAAAAAATGCCATTCATTTGAAAGATCTGTTCATCTCCATGTAAATATTCAAAATGATCGTTATCACATTTCAACAACTTATTATATATAAAAATTTCTCAAGATAGTATGAACGTTGGTCT